GGGGGCAGGTGGAGGGGGGGGGATGGGACAGCAGCTGACCCACCACCAGCCCCTTCCCAAAATAGTCCTTGGGGGTGGCGGGGGCAGCTTCCCAGCAGCTGCTGCCTGGGCTGGGGCATTCAGAAGGGCCTGGGGAAGACGAAGCCACTGGGATGCAGATGATGGGGGCATCTAGGGAGTGCGACTTCTAGAGCTGACAGGCCACCCTTCTTGCAGTATATGCCTCCGTCAGCCTCTACCTGCTCCCAGAGCGGCCAGCCACCCTCATCCTTTATGAGGACCTTGTGCACATCCTCCTAGGCTCTCCAGGTAAGCTATACCCTGCAGTTCCGTCCATAGCCCCGCTCCCTTCCTTGATCTTGACCTGTATGCAGAGACCCTCTGCTTCTTCACACCGTAGCTGGTCATCCTTGGGCAAGTCACTTACCCTCTCTGAGCCATACTTTATGCATGTATAAGTTGTGGGAGGATAAATACTTACATCATCAAATTAAGGTTAAAAAATTGCATCAAATGTGCTAAGAGAAGAAAAACAGGTGTTCAATAAATATTTATAGTTTATTTGGGGCTTTTTGTGATTTCTATTCTCCTCTAATTCCCAGCTCCCTGACCTGTTATCTCTAGTGGAGCTACAAGTATTTCTCATGCACTTACCTGGTGCCTGACTGTCCTGAGGCTGTGAGGGCCTTCCACAGCAGCTGAACACCTACCCAGTGGCCTGGAGCAATCCTCAGTGTCCCTTGTCTTTATGCACAGGCCTTCAATCTCAGTTCATATTCTGGACCTGCTCTGTGCCGTGTGGATGGCCGGTGCTGGGACACAGGGGTGGGGGAGAACAGACCCACAGATCACATCATGGTCATAGGCAGTGGGAAGACAGACAGACACCCCTGCAAATCCCGGGGAAGTTACAGAGCAGGCAGACAGTGACAGACAGAAATGTCCCCTCGCCCTTGGGGGAAATCCAGTAAGGCTAATCAAAGGAGCAGCAGGCTGCGGGGCCTGGGAGAGGAAGGGGAGCCGAGGTGCCTGGCTGGAGAGAGAGTTAGGTGAGTTGGCAGGCAGAAGGGACAGTGAGGGCTCGGTGTACCTCTGGCAAGAACCACAGACCTGTACTGCAGTGGGTTTTGGAGTGGGAATCCTTGTCGGCAAATTGCTAGTCTGCCACCTTCGTCTCATTGACCCCATACCAGAGGCCTCCAAAGCCCCCAGGTTTTCTAAAATGGTCTTTGTTTTCCCAGTGTTTCTGCCCTCTAGTGGCTTCCACAGCTCTCAGTGTGAATTGCAGAGCTCTTCAGAGAGCTGGCCATACTCTCCAGGACTCAGCAACCACCACCCCCTTGTAGCCCGTGACCCCTGGGTCTTTCTCCTGCATGTCCCTAAAAGCAATCCCACTTTCTTTCTCCCTTACCCTACAGAACTCCAGAGGGTGGGCCAGGCTCCCAGCATTTAGTAGTAAGGGATGGACTTGTGTGGAGGGATGTTGGGGACAAGGCCAGGCTCCAGGATGATGGCCCTGTTGCTGAAGTTCTGGTTCCATTTCTGCATCTATAAAATGGAGTTGATACCTCAGGGGCTGTTAGGCTAATTAAGGGGGTTACTATGCAGAGCCTGCTTAGGACAGTATTCAGCATATTTTCAAGCTTAATAAATGTTACCTATGATCACACTGGATTGGAATTCTGTTTATATGTCTGCTCCCTCGGCCCCAAAACACACACACACACACACACACACACACACACACACACTGTAAGCTAATGTGTGTATATCTACATGGAAATGATGTGGGGCTGAAGAGATGGCTCAGTGCTTAAGAGCACTTGGTACCGGCATGGTGCCTCACAAACTCCCTTGTCCCAGGAAATCTGACGCCCTCTTCTGGCCTATGAGAGCACTGCACACATGTAGTGCACACACATACAGACAAAATACTCATACACATAAAAATAAAGGAAAAATATTTACTGATGAAGCTCACTCTGTAGATCACAGAACTCACAGAACTAACCTCGAACTCACAGAGATACACCTGCCTCTGCCTCCCAAGTGCTGGGATTAAAGGCGTGTGCCACCAATGCCCGGCCTGGGAAAAATAATTTAAATAGATAAAATTCCTCAGTTCCTCAGCCACACACTTAGCCACTTTTCTCTTTTTAATTTTTTGAGACAGTAGCTCAGAACTTTGCAGTTCAGTCTGGCCTAAGAGTCCTGCTGTCGACTCTCAAGTACTGACAGTACACGTGCCACCAGGCCAGGCTCATGAGCCATGTGTATCCAATGGGCACTAAATGGGCAGCACAGACAAGAAGGTCTTTCCATCAGGGCAGACGGTTCTAGAGGAAGTGTAAAGAGCAGTACATACTACTAAGTAGATTGTAAGAACGAAGGCAGGGGATTGATTGTCTCTTAATCAACTCCACACCCCAGGACCTAACTCAGTGCCTGCCACTCAGCTGATGCTGTTAGCTCAGGACATGACTCTCATTAATGTGTGTGTGTGCGTGTCGCGTGTGGGTATGGGGGGGGGGTGGTTGGTTGAGTGTTCTTCTGTGTACATGTGCATTCAGGAGCCCACGGAGGTCAGAAGAGGGTGCTGGGTCCCCTGGAACCACTTATAGGTGGTTATGAGCTTCCATGTAGGTGCTGGGAATGGAACCCAGGGTCTCTGCATGAGCAGTCAACCCTTTAAGTCACTGTGTCTTCTCTTCAGCCCCATGACCCTCATCAGTTTATAGGTTCATAAGGAAAGCGAGAAATTTGTGGAAGGTCCCATGGTCACCAGACATGGCGGTTTCAGGACCACATCCCTTTAAGTTGACAATCCATGGTTAACCATTTCTCTATCACCACCGTGGCCTTCTTGATTGGCCTAACCCAGCTGTTCCCTTTTTTTGGATGTCTGCATTCTGTTTTGGTCCTGGTCAGGCTACCATAGTGCCTGCTTTCCATCCAGGTGCCCGCTCCCAGCCCTGGGTGCAGTTCCAGCGCAGAGCTGCCCGGCTGCCTGTCAGCTCCACCTACAGCCAGCTTTGGGCTTCACTGACACCTGCCAGCACCCAGCAGGAAATGCGGGCTTTCCCTGCCTTCCTGGGCACAGAGGCCTCCAGCTCAGGTAGGCCTTGTACTTAATGTAGATGGCAGACTCCTTCCCTAGCTAGAGACTTAGCCATTAGTGCCAGTGTCCTTTTCCCTTAGGCAATGGCTCCTGGCTGGAGCTGATACCCCTGGCCGCTGTGAGTGTACACCTTCTAACGGGCAATGGGACAGAGGTGCCGCTCTCAGGCCCTATTCACCTGTCCCTGCCAGTGCCCTCAGAGCCTCGTGCCCTGGCTGTGGGCACCAGCATTCCAGCCTGGAGATTTGACCCCAAGAGTGGTAAGTGAAAGGGCAGAGGTTGGGGAAGGGAGGTGGGCTTAGGTTAGAGGTGGCAGAGCACTGAGCTTGATGAACCCCTCTGACCTCTTCCAGGGCTGTGGGTACGAAATGGCACTGGTGTGATTCGGAAGGAAGGCCGCCAGCTCTACTGGACTTTTGTCTCCCCACAGCTGGGGTACTGGGTGGCTGCCATGGCCTCCCCTACATCTGGTGAGATTGGTTGGGCAGTGGGCAGTGGTGGGTGGGAAGGCTGGGAGAACTCAGGCCTTGTGGAAGATAGGAAGGGCATCCTAAGCCCTTGCCTGGCACAGGGCTGGTTACCATCACCTCAGGCATCCAAGACATTGGCACCTACCACACAATCTTCCTGCTGACCATCCTGGCCGCTCTAGCCCTGCTGGTTCTCATTCTGCTGTGTCTACTGATCTACTACTGCCGGTGAGTGCTCCTGGGATCCACCCCGCCTTCTTTCCCCGCATCCCTGCACTGGCGTCCCAAAGATACAGGAAGCACAATTCCGATCCTCACCCTGCTTCTAGGAAGGAACCCCTGCTTCTAGGAAGGAATGGCAGCGCAAGAGCTAAGACCAGAGAGGCTGGTGGCTTTAGGGAAAGGGGTGACAGATGGCGGGGCCTGTGGGCCTTGCCCATTGCAGAGACTATCCAACTGCTCCAACTAGACCAGCTCTCACTCCCAGGGGGCCCCCAGAGCAAGCACTCGTAGCTGGTTTTCATGCCAAGCGTTACCCATGAAGCTCCTGGATGTGTTACCCTCTTACTACTAGCAGCCTCCAGGAATCCCCCCCACCCCATCTATCTTGAATGTTCCAGGCATCATCCACCAACCACCCTGCTGCCTGCCCTCTTTCTTCCTTGTGTTGGCAACTGTGGGGGTGAAGGAGACCTTTGCTTTCAGCCTTCCTGAGGTCCTGTCTCTTTTCCTGTCCAGGAGACGCTGCTTGAAGCCAAGACAACAGCACCGCAAGCTGCAGCTCTCCGGCCCCTCGGACAACAAACGAGATCAGGCCACGTCGATGTCTCAACTCCATCTCATCTGCGGGGGACCCCTGGAGCCTACATCTTCGGGAGACCCCGAGGCCCCGCCCCCAGGCTCCCTACACTCGGCCTTCTCCAGCTCCCGGGACTTGGCATCCTCCCGAGATGACTTCTTCCGTGCCAAACCGCGCTCCGCCAGCCGCCCCCC